TTACCATTACTTTCTACTTCAATACACTTCATTGCATCAAGATAATTTTTTATGCTTTAATAATTCTTAATCTCGTCATTTATTTAACAAACATTATTTTTTTTCTCCTTTTTATGACACTTTGCTTTTTCTTTTGTGATTCCTTTTTTTCTTTTTGGTGATTTTAAATGAAGACTATATAAAAAGAAAAGAAATAACAACTTATTTTTTTATTATTATTTTTTTCAATATAATTTTAATCTTGCAAAACGAAACAAAATACACGCACACGCACACAGAAAATGATAATAATGGACGGTTGAAACTGTTTAAAATCACAGTGATAAATACAAGAAAAAAAAAAAAAAAGATAAGAATATTCAAACTAATTATAATATTATTTTGTGGATGGAATAATTGCAAATGGTGTGTGTCACACAGATAATTTTCAAAGAGAAATGCTTCAAACATGCACAAATAAAAAACATCAAGGAAATAATACTGGACGGAAGAAAAAAAAAAGCAAAGAAAAAACAAACATTCCACAGACAAGAAGTAAAAAGGAAGACCCTACACAAACATTTATATACAATAAACAAACCTTTTCTTTTGTGATTATTTAGATAATTTTAAATCAAATGCTGTTTCAAGTGACGGTAACTTTGTTGGAGTTACACTTTCATTTGAAAGCCACCATGATGGTCGTTTTATTCCACGACCTTTTATAGTAAGAGATTGTTGCTGTTGTTGTTGTACATCATCGTCAAACAACGAATTGAATGTTGACTGTTTAGTTGGATAATCAAAACCATCAAATGCACTTGAATCTCCACCGGCTGCTGCTGCTTCAGCTGAATACGTTAAGTCTGTTAATGCTGCATTAAAATCATTAAATAAATCTTGTTCAGTTTTTGTTGATAAAAGTGGTTGAACATCAATATCATTTGGTGTTTCACATAAATAAGCATCCCAATCAAATGTAACTGAATCTAATAAAAGCATATCTGTATCATCTAATTTTGTTGAAATAATATTTTGTTTTGCTATAGCTGATGACATTGATGATGGTGAATTTGATGGTGATGGAGTTGAAACAGATGAAAAATCACTTATTTGTTGTTGTTGTTGTTGTTGTTGATGATGATGATAAAATGGTGGAACTGCTAATGAATCTGGTGATGATATTGGAGAAAGAAAACTACTTGGCATTCGTATATATGATGATGGACGATCAATATTTGTTGTATGACATTGAAGAGGTAACTGATTTTTTGATGAAATACATGGAAGAATTGAATCAATCCATGATTCAGTTTTAGTACCATTATTTAATTGTGTTGTATTATCAGAAATATTTGTTGATCGTTTTGATGTACGTGTACGTTTATTTTGTGGTGGATTTATTTGTCGATCTTGTTGATTATTTATTGAAATTTTATTTTGTGAATGTTGTCGTTCATAATCTGATGATAATTTCCAAAATCCACCTTTACCTCCGGCTTCTTTTTTTGTACGTGGAACTTTAACAAAATATTTGTTCAACGATAAATTATGACGAATGGAGTTCTACAAAAAATTTTCAGATAATCATATAATATAAATAATTAAATATTTCTTTATGTTCTTTTTTAATCAGATAGGAAAGAAAAAAATTTATAAGGAAGTTAGACAAGGTCAAAGGAAACGAATACTGTTCTTATTTCCTGTAGGGTGAATATTAATCATTTCCGCATTTTCTTTTCTTTTTTTTTTTTCATTTCACTAACATTTTTCATTAAATAAAATAACTGAAGTGTTTTTCTTATCATGTTTTTTTTTTCGAAAAAATAAAATTTTTTTCATCTATATATAAGTATTTAATAATTCATGAATATAATTTAAAAATACCTGCCAAGTTGGTTCCATTTTTTTAAAATAAGGAAAATTATCTGCAACCCACTCATAAATCATTTGTAATGTCATTTTTTCATGACCTGATTGTCGCATAGCCAAAAAAATAAGTTGAGAATATGAATAAACCGGTTTTGCTTGAGGATTTGTTTTATAGATTTTCCAATGTTCATCATCATCATCATCATTATTTAATATTAACTCATTGTTATCATCAATATCATTAGGATAAACAGCACCAATATTTGATGAAGATAAAGATATAGAAGTGTTAGATAATGTTTGTTCTTTACGTTTGTTACTAATTGCATTATTTCCTGAACTATTTGATGATGATGATGAACAAGTTGATGATAAATTTATTGTTGGAATAGTTCGTTTTAATATATTAATATCATGTAACCATGAAAGATTTGTTAAACTATCATCAAAAATATTGAATGTTGTAGTTGATATACGTGATGGTGTATTTGTATTATGTGCTGTTAAAACATTTGTTGTTTCAATTGTTTTATTCATTGAACTATTTGATGGTACCAACGTATAAACATTTCGTTGGATTGGATACTGTGTCATCGACGATGTACAATTTTGTCTACAATGAAAGGTTTTTTTCTTTTTTTCAATTAGTTAATCACTCAAGAAAAAAAAAAGAAAGAGAAGAAAACTTATTTTTCCTTAGTTTTAATAGGACGGAAAAATATTTTGTAAATATCGTTACATAGCTATACTTGCATTCGCCTGCTGTTTTTCAAGAGTTAAATTGCTTTTTCAATTTTATTAGATTCTTTCTTTTGTTCAAGGATGAATACGTTTCTGTCTTCATGTCATAATATGTTTTTTTTTTCTTTTTTTTTTTTTTTTTTTCTTTGTCGATCTCATTTGATGAATGACAGGCAGTACCACTAGCTTGAATTTTACGCATATGTGAATTGAACAAGTTTCTCTTTTTTTTTTTTTTTTTTTCTTCAAGGACAGATTAATGAAGTAATTTGATTCTCACCTCTCTCACATGATGTCAAGTTTCTTTTTTTTTCTTGTTGTTGACGAATGAAGTATCATGCAAAATCAAGAAATAGCAACTTACCAAATCATTTAAATAAGTTACTTAACATGAATCAAATCTACAAACGTAATGTCACAAAGCTCTAGCGTGTCTTTATTTCTACATAATCATTTGCTGAACAGAGAGCGAGGGAAAAGAAAGTCGTAAGAAAAAAAAAATGACCTTGAGTTTTTCTAAATGCTCACACACACGCATCGAGAAGCAATTATTGCACCCGTTTTTGTCATTCTCGTCGGAAACATTAGCAAGCAATACGAGAGTAAGATGACGAGAATGAAGAAAAAAAATAGAACAAAAAAAAGGTAACAACAGAAAAAAAGCTCACACTATCGGAAATATCTATAAGGCATGATTGCATGAAATCAATTATTTGAGCTAGTTCTAGGTTTAAACAAGCACGTACACACGCTACCTTTTTCTCACGATGGTCAGATGAGCTAACGGCTTTACGTCTTTGTTTCTTCTATTCTTGTTTTTTTACATTAACATAGATGAAGTGAAACGGACACAGAATAATTTTAGATGTATGTATGAGTGAAAGAATCGAAATTCTTTCTGCTTTCTTTCGATGCACACAAAAGGAGAGCGAGAGAGAATACAATTTCAAGCCTTTCTTATTCTTTTTTTTTGTCGAACGTATATGTTCTCTCTCTAACTTGCGTCTGATGAGATCGATGATGGGATGTGTATGAGTATTTGTAAGATGCAACAAACGAAGCATACGGTAAAAAAAAAAAAAAAAAAAAGAAGAACAACATATTCTTAAAAAAATAAAGCCGATATATAAAAGAAATGGAAAGAAAAGGAAAAAAGGCGTTGTTGCCTGCGGTTTTTATATACAATGAAAATGATGATGAAAATCAACGGAAGACTACCTGCTGTTGACATCAACACATCAAAAGAGAATAATACAAAAAAACATAAATCACTGGTTTCACTTATCTTTTGAATCAAAATTGATTATATTCTATCATATTAAGTCTTCAATGGATAAATAAGTGTCATCTATTCTTAGAACTTGTTCTTGTATATTTAATAAACACATTCGCGCATAGTCTTTAAAAAAAAAGCGAGAGAGAAAAGAAGAAAAAAAAAGTATATGTGATTTTATTCTACATCACACAAGCAAACATTACTTGAGACACAAAACTCTTGTGATGATGATGATGATGACTAACGAAAAAAGAATTATGTATATATTTACATAAAAACGAATTCTCTTTCTCTCTTTCGCACACGCTTCGTATAAATGTTGAACCTACCTGATAATGAACAATCATCAGCCTTCACAATGATGCAACCTGAGAAAGAATATTACGTGTTCTTTTCTCTTTCTTTTAAACGAATTATTGAGAAAAAGTGAAATTCTAGGACGCCAACAATAGTAACTTGCACTTGTAATTTTACATCATCTTTTCTTTTTTTTTTTTCTTTTCGTTGTTTTTTTTTTTTCGCTTGCCTATTTGCACTTACACATATGAAGAGATTCGACTAGTTGTTCAAATATTCATAATCAACTTTCATTTATTCATCTATGAACCAATGTATGAACAACGACAACTTGTATGTTTACATAAAGAGAATAATAAGAGTACCATCTCATTTGTCTACTCGACACTTGTACGATTTTCTTTAATTATCCATACGAGAGACTGTATCACGCTAAGTAACTTTCTTTATTAATCAATCAAATATAATGCATAAACTACGCAAAAAGAAGACATGATGTGAATTTACTTTTCATACATCTACGGTTATATCCATTTTGTCCTTCTATTTTTATGACTTTTGAAAAAAAGAAAAAGAATCAATATAGTAACATGATATTAGAATTTCATTATCATAAAATCAATAAAAAGTCTTGAAATTATAATGAACATGTTCAATTTTGATAGATATATAATATTAAATTAATCATGAACATATTGTTTCGATAATTAGTTAAAAATTAATAAAGAAAGAAAAAAAATACATTAATTTATTTGGCGCATGCATTAAATAGCAAAGCGCTAAAAATAAAAATATTATTCATTGAATTGTTTCATTTTCATTATTTGTTAGTTTAATGAATAAACATTGTACATCATGTTTTCATCGTCATCACATTGACAGTGTTCGTTCGTCTGATTGTTCTCAACAAATTGATGATTCACATTTGTTAATCAATAATCAACCAGAGTGTCATCATCATCGAAATAATCACAATAGTAGTTTAATCCAACATGATCAATTGATTAAATCAACAAGTACAGCTGCTTTTCGAAAACGACGTACAGCAATACCTTCTAATCATCATCATCAACGATTACAATCTTTGTCATTTTCAACTCTTCTTATTTTAATTCGTTTATTGATATTATTTATTATTGGTTTTACACTTTATTATGCTTTTATTTATATTTATCCAAAACCTAAAAGAAACGGATGGGAACGAGTTTGGTATACAATAATTGATTGGCTTTCTGGAGAATAAATATGGAAAATTTTTGGTTTGTTTTGTTTTTCTGCTATGAAAAAAAAAAAGAAAGATTAATGCGGATATGTTATTTCATTTTAATTTGATAATATCGTAGTAAAATAGAAACTAAGTTGAGTTTTTTGCAATGTTTTCAGATTTTTTGTGCGTCTGGAGAGGCGATTGACAACTTCGAGTGGATGAAATCAACCTTCAGAGGAGCTCCAGGCACTAAGTATCTATATTATGAAAAGCAATGTTTTTTTGGTCGTTATTTTTTTAAAAGTCATATAGAAGTTATGAAATGGAATTTTTTTAAATAAATCATTAAAATTAATTATTTTAACATTGTTTATATTTCAATAGGTTATATAAATCTTGTATTTTAGTAGTTTTTGATGAATAATTTCTATTCGATTATACTTTTTTTTTTAATTAAAAAATTTCGTTTTTATATATAAAAAGAAAACAATCAAAGAAAGAAATTATATAAGAAAAAAAACAACATATTGTAAATCAACTGAAAGTGAATAATTCTATTCATAAGAAAAATTATATTCGTTGAATAATTCAAATTCTGAATTGAATGAAATTTTAACAAAGTTGAATATAAAATCTCGCAATTATACAAGAACAGCATAAGATTTTTGCCAACAGTTCTCAACATTTGTGAGTTGATAAAAAAAGAGAAAAATCTTCATTTGTTATATATCACAGTATGAGTTGAACAAGAGATAATCGACAAGAACTTTTAATAACTCTCGTTTTTCACAACTTGAAAAATAGAAATATCTGTCATGACTTGCAATTAAGATCGAAACAATATTTAATACAAAACGATAGATTGCTTTTTCTATTAGAACTATGCAAGACAGCCGTACCTTTTAGAGTAGAATAGGGTTAATGTAAGAAGATATTTCTTAGATAGGGGTAAAGCCTATAAAACAAAGGTTTTTATCCTACACATTTCTATTCTCTCTTTTTTATTATACAATAAAAGAAAGTAGAACATTATTATCATAAATAATCTTCAGTTTGTTAAGAAAGCATTTATATCCTTGAAATGATTTTAGTACTTTTTTCTTTTCTGATAACGTCTTTATTCATAAAATGAACTATATCATGTAAAATAATGTGATGTGATAAGTATTCATTTAAATGATATCGTAGAATAATAATAAAAATAAAAAAGTAGACCAATCATTAAGCCTTTCTTTCTTTCTTTTTTTTTACATCATTATCTTGCAACTTTATATCAAAATCTTCAAATATTATTCTAAATTATCACTACTAAAACAAAACAAAATTATATCAAATATTTGCTTTTTATTTTAATCATTAATCAATATTTACAAAAATTTTGTTTTTGTTTAATTCATTGAATAGTTGATCGAATAAAATGAGCGCGTTATTGATAATTAAATAAATGAATACAATAAGTATTGCTGTGTTAACTATTATACTTGGTGAAATATTTCTTTTTAGCTTTATGATAATAAGTACTCTTATAATTTATTATCATTTTGCTCAACCAAATGAACCAACAATTGATATTGATTCAATAGAAATGAGTGATCAAAATGAAAATATTATTCCATTAAAATCTCAATTAGAACAATTTCAATAAATATAATTTTTAAAAAAAAGTTTCTTTTTTAAGAGACGAAAAAAAAGCCAAACAACGAACAATACTGCTAAAGGAAGAAAAATAAATGTTTAAATCAATTGTCTTGTTGTTTTTAAACACTTCCATAATTATTCTTCAAATCTCGTAAAAGAATAATACCCAATATCATTCCAGCAATTTCAATAAAGAAGAAGAAGAGTGAAACTCCACCTAATGCTTTAGAATATCGAAAGAATAAACTACGAGCTGCTTGATAACAACCTTGTTCAAAATAAATGATATTATTTACTGGTTGACAATCAATTTTAAGACAACATGAATCTGGTACTTTCTTAAGTGTCGTTGTTTCTGTCCAATCTGACGAATTTTCAACACCACAACATGACCATTGTTGTTGAAGACGATTCCATTCTATAACAACTTCAGCATTTTCTGTTGCATATAGTTTCATTGAACTAAATAATTTATTTTTTAATGTACTATCAGCCTTATTACGAAGTGTAAATCCAACAATAACAGCGATGAATTGAAGTAATAAGATTACAGCTAATGAACCAATAAAAAGTTGTAATAATCCTAAACGATTTCCACATGCTCCAAGAAAACCTAATATGACAAAAGAAAATATTATATTTAATCATACTTTTTTTTTTCAGATATGAAACGAAAGTGATTTACCAAGCACTGATAAGATAATAATAAAAACACCTAAAGCAATAATAAAACCAGCACCAGACATAATCGAACTACCCGTAATTTCGGCAACTAAAACAAATCGTTATAAAAATGAAATCATTTTTTTAAATAAATGAAAACTTACATTGTAAAGCATGTCGATGAGCAACACTTCCGGTAATGAGCAGGGAAAGACCGGCAATAAAATATAATACCAAAAATAAAATAAAAAGTGACTTATTTAAACGCATCGTTTTGTTAAGTGGTTAAAAAAAAACTTTAAATCTATCTCGTATTCTGAAAATAACGTGAAATCTAAAATAAAGAAAGACAAATAGAATTCAGTAATGATGAACAACCCATCTATGTTTTCGAAAAAAAGATAAAGAAAATAATAATACTTTGATAATAGAAAGAAAACGAATGTTTGGCACTCTCTGATCAAAACGAAAGAAAGTATTAACAGAGATATATTTTCAACCAATTGTCGTCAATCGACTGGTATTAATGTTTTTCTTTTTGCTTTCATTTGTGTGCACAAAAAAAGAACATATGATTAGAACTATACATTACAATATGGAGAGGCTTAAGCACTGTTTTTGGTTGTAGGGTGATCGAGTAACCAAACAGATAAGTTATTTTGTCTTTTTTTTTTTTCTATCGATCGTGTGAATTGAAACAGATTTTTATTTGCTTCTTCTATGTTTTATCAGATTTATAGCAATGCCGAATCAATTATTGCAATCTATATTTATCGCTCACCTCAAGGTCAATGAATAATAATAACCACACATACAAATAGCATTTTAAAAAAGTATTACGAAAATCAATACTTTTTAGCGCAACGAGTAAAACAGTCAGCTATTGATTATTAATGAAATCAATGAATATATTCATAAATATACTAATATGATATTTAGAACAGAATAGAAAATAATTGGTATGTATGACAAAATAGTTTTGTTGTGTATTGATTATTGAATATTAATTAAGTATATAAAAACGATGTGGTTAAATCAATATTTTGATGAAAATGTTGCTTTAAATGGATGATAATTAATCACCGATTGGGATTATGAAACTATACAATATATAGTAAAATCTCGAATAAAAAGAAACGTATCTCATTGGAGCTTTTTCTTCTCGTTTCAATATAAATTATGGTTATGAAAAACTACTTTCTTTATAATTTTGTTGAAGTGAAAAACAAATATTATAAATGATTTCTTATGAATTGAACATTAATTATAGTCTTTCAAGTCATTTAGCAAAGTCTATTTCTGAAATTCAAATTAACGCAAATGAGAATAAATGTTTGTTTTATGACATCATAAAAGACTTCTTTTGATTAAAATTTACTTGAAATACTCGTTTTTTTGTCAGCAGTGTAACACTCGTCACTAACAAACATTCTTGAACCTATTCTTTCCACATTTTTATTTTTCTTGATTGCGATTAAGCAAAATTCTTGCCTGAAAAAATGGACATTGGCTTTTTGACAAAAACTATGTAGACTAGATTTTGTCTAAGGAGGCAAACATGTTTCTTCAGAGAAGACTCTTATTGAGTTTTTTTGCTTGGTTCTTATGAATTACGTGTAGTTTTTATTTTAGGACAATAAGGATATTTTCTTTGCATTGTTATTTTATTTTTACGTCAGACTCTTAACACAATCCAACAAAATATATAACACAAAATGGGATGAAATTGAAAAACATAAAAAAAGAGCAGAATGACAATAATCAAAGAGAGAATATTCATAGTCATGTTATAAATCTGATATGTCCATATCGGTAGGGAAGAAAAACAAGAAACAGATAATAAAAACAACCAATTAATATTACAATTCTCGCCAATTATTGTAATTTGTCTTCTTTTTATTATTCATCAGTTGAAATTAATGATTTTTTCATCATCTGTCGATGTGTGCTGTTATGGTTGTATTGTTTTTCGACACTTTCTAAAAAAAAAACAACTAAAAATTCGAATCACGGATAAGTCAATATATGTAGTTTTGCTATTCAATATTTACACTTAATGGATATTGACATACAACTGATACATTATATTGAATAGAATATTTTTTTATTTACTGACTTGAACTCAATTACTGATTAATCGGCTCCATAGCGTCATTCTATTAAAATATAGAATAATGACTTCCACTACAACACATCTATAAAATTCTGATAGTTCATGAGACCACACTATAGCTTATCGCTTGTTTTTTTCGCAGATCCTATCTGATGAACTAACATGCGATGCAAAAGTCTTGGCAAAAATATCAACCTATGTTAGACCATATTGCCAGTTTCTAAAACAATCAATTTTTTTTTGTTGGAAAGAGCAAAGTCTAAACTACAAATTTTGTAAACAGCTTATTTTTTTGAGACGAATCTACGAAGCAAGAGAAGCTAAAAGTTAAACACTTCTCAAAAATTTGTTGCAGCGTTTTTTCAACGTGAAAAGTTTCTGCCGTTCCATTATCTTGAACTACATGGATCGACTTCTAACAAAAAATACACCAAAATGTGGCACATTGAAAATTCTATCGATATCAGCTCTACTCGTTTTTTTTTTAAGATTAGCTTTTGACTCTTTAACTAACAAAAAACTAGAAAATGGAAATTTTCGTCAAATAGAGTCTTTTGAAAGAACTATTCATTTGAAAGAAGATTAATCACAATCTTTAGAAGCTATGTGTGAATTGAAATCT